TCCTAGTAGCGATGCCCTTTGCTCCTAGGAGCTTCTTGTTCCTAGTAGCGATGCCCTTTGCTCCTAGTAGTGTCCTTGCTCCTAGTAGTAAGGCCAGGAGCCCCTAGTAGCGTTTCGGAGTTCTTGTTTGGTTGGAGCCTTGGGCCCGGGCCTCTGTGAGGTAGTAGGGCGTGAGGTCTGCGCCGCCGCCCAGCCAGGCGCTCTCTTGGCCGTTCGCAGCGGTCACGCAAAAGATCCGGACATCAGAGCGGAAGGTCGGGATCCAAGGGCTCACCGTGTGGAGCACCATACCTTAGGTTGGAGGCCATTGCCAGTAGGGAATAAGCGGCGATGGCCAAAAACTCTTGTGGATGACTGCCCTGAAAGGATCATGAACCCCTTGTTACTAGTAGCGTCCTTTTTCCTAGTAGTACGGCCAGGAGTCCCTAGTAGCTTCTTGTTTCTTGAAAAGCCCTGAAAGGATCATGAACCAAAGTCATCTTAGCTCGATAGACATGGTTGCTCCGAGATACTCAGCGCCGCCGCAGCATAAGCATCCCCAGCTTGCACCAGGAGGCCTTCCTGGCGCGCGCTGATGGTCTTAGCCCGTTCAGCAGACAAGACACCTCCTCGAATGATGGTCAAGCTGCAAGCGCCTTTTTCCTCAGACATAAATGTTGATACATTGAAGAAACTCCTAAAGGCAATAAACATGACGGATCGATGCGAATCGGTTTTGCGGGGACATCTCAATCTATCGAAAAAAATCACAGTTTAGATGCGTTCTTTCTCCAATATAAATCGAAACACGACAATACGACCAAAAAACTAGAACTACAAATAGGTGGAGGCCATCGCTATTAGGTGTATCAGGTTCCTTAAGCTTTCATTAAGATTTCCAATAAACTTCCTAGCTTCAATGACTTCGCCTCCCTGCAGGACACGTGTCAAGCCTCCGCTGCCGTGGCCCTTAAGGCCACCCCCCCCCGGCGAAGATGCCCCAGGGATCGCAGGAGAAGGTTGCAGAGCCCTCCATTGCCTGGAGTCAGAGTCAGTGCAGTATGCAGTGCAGCCATGAACGTTGACACGATGGAACACCTAAGACCCTAGGAGCCTAGGTTGGAGGCCATCGCTATTAGGTTTGTGGCCTAGGACACTGTACCTTGCAGTGTACTCTGTACATCTCTGTACTTGAAAATAACCAAAAAAAAGTTGTTGAGATCTATATCTCTCTCTTCGCTCCTCAAGTTCACCGATGATCTTCGTCTGCTTTTCTTTCAAAAACTGGGCGAAGGTGTCGAAGTCCGCACAGCGCCGAAGAGTCGAAGAGTCCTTCGTCCTCGCCCGAGTCGGTCGGACGAAGGCAGGAGGTGCCAGGCTCAGGAGCGCCGTCAGGAGGAGCGCCACATGTCCGAAGGAACGCCGTGAAGTCATGGCGTCACATGTGTGAGGCAATTCCTTCGAAACTGGAACCCCTTCACAAGAGAGGCGGGAAGGGATGGTTTCAGGGATGCATGGGAACGAAAAAGAATCAAGGACAATTGTATGAGGAAGAGGCGAAGAAGCCATGGTCGGCAGTAGTTCCACCTCAGGGTTCGGACAAAGGTCGCATATAAGTGGGTAGTTGCCCCTCTCCTTGTGGGAAGCTCATTAAAGAATTGATATCACCAGTATCTCGCTCAGCTTAGAACCAGAAAAGGCAGCAGGTCAAGAACTTTGGTTGAAACAACCACAGTAGAGAAGGCAAGAGATGACTGAATGTTAACAAGGCTTCCAAGGACACCAAATGACATAGATATCCATGATACCTCAAACTGAGAATGTCCTCAGGAATCATGAACAAATCCAATTGATGAATGCACGTAGGAGGCAAGTCTAAGAAGCTCAAAGTGTCTTGCTCAACATCAAAGTCCAAACATCGCAACAGGTCGGTTTCTCTTCCGTCTTTCGAGATGGCTGGTGCGACGTGATTGCGGCACAAATGGATGGTTGATCATGCCACCACCTTCAACATGGAATAGCAGGGCCCCCAACCTGGTAGCGAAGGCCTCCAACCTAATTGCGATGGCCTCCAACCTAGTAGCGATGGCCTGAGACAGCGGGCTAGGTGTCTCCAAGGCACGATGATGTTTGATGGCACGCCAGGACCATATCCTGCGAGTTTGTCTCACAAAATGCTGCACCCTGCTGTGCGATTGCTTTCACATCCAAAAAGCGTCTTGATGCAACTTGTGCAGGTCCGTTGGTTCAATGGAATGCCATCCCACCACACGATTCCTTTGGAATACAGTACAACTGTCCTACCTTGGAGAGGATCGCGCTGCAACTTTTGCATCAGCGCCAAGCGATCGTTGGCGTCCTTCAACATACCCGGCCTGGGTGCAAAGGGCAAAGTCGGACCAGTTTCTGAGGAAATGTCTTTGGCAAATGTGGATACTGAAATTCTGCTTCCCCCTACAGTGTCCGCCAGCACTATTAGAGACACCTCACTAGGAAGTTCTGCCATGCAACATGGTCATTGATCTAATATACTTCCATCCAAAACCCGGCGAACACCGAGTGATTCTGTGCACTGCTCTACCGTTAAAACTTCAAAACCTGTCCCAGATCCCCAAATGGTGTGGCACATTTACCAAAGCCTGTGCTTGTCAAAGCCTGGAAGGGGGGTGTGAAGCTTTACACTGACGACACACCGCATATGGCCTTAGGCAATTTCTATCCCTCACTAATTACAAGCAGCACGTGTTCTTTTCTCTTTTCCCCTCTATTGTTTCTGTTTTCTAGACTGTCTTTCCTTTCTTGCTTTTCTTTTGTAAGGACTATCTTTGTCTTCAAAGAAAGTGTTTTTCTATGTACAAGCCGGCAACGCGAGGTCAGTCCGCGCATATGTGGGCATCCACCTGAGCTGCCTGACTGAGCATTCGGTCCCATTGTGCTGGCATCCTGGCGAATGTGAATGGAGGATGATTGGCTTCCACCGTTGAGACTAAGACATCCGACTAATCATAAATTCTTGTTTCTAATAGCAAACATTGTTACTACTAGTAAGGCACTTGTTACTAGTAGCGATGCACTTGTTACTAGTAGCTTATTTCTATTTTAATTCGTGTTTCTAATAGCAAGCATTGTTCCTAGTAGCGATGCCCTTGCTCCTAGTAGCGATGCCAGGAGCCCCTAGTAGCTTCTTGTTTCTAATAGCTTCTTGTTCCTAGACGTTTAAAGGAACCTAATAGCGATGGCCCGAAAAAAATACTAGCGATGGCCTCCAACCTAAGAGCGATGGCCTCCACCTTAAGAGCGATGGCCTCCAACCTAGTAGCAAACTATATTAGACCTTTCTTCCTTTTCTTTTTGCTTTGCTTCTAATTTAGATGGCCTCCACCCGTGTGATGTGATCTTTGGGTCCCTACAGCGCAGAATATGACCTGTCCCTCCAAAATAACTCTGGCAGGACAAAGGTCGTTTTTATCCGTGTAAAGACTAGGGCTGGGACCAGTCATAGGACTAGTGACCTTTTAAGTTCATTCCCTAAGCAAGCCTAGTAGTGCAGGTATAAACAATCCCAGCTGACCAGAATAGTCTACTGAGTCTACTGATCTTCAGAGAATGTCCTTCCTAGTCCTTCAAGGCCCTCTTACTGGATGTGTCTTGTCTAGCCACCAAGAAGGACACATGTGATGTGTTATTCCTCTGAGTCTTTCCATGTCTTGCCATCCTCTCGTGTCCTTGGACCATCACAACCCGACAAAACACCTCGTGGAGGTTCTCGCCGATTGCCAGGTTTGCTGGCTGACCGCCCTCACCGAGCTGCATGTCGCTGGTGGCCTCGGGTGAATCGGCTGCATGCCAAAGAAACTGTGTCAAGACAATTGAGTATAGAAGCGATGGCCTCCAACCTAATAGCGATGGTCTCCAATCTTTTGTTTTGTAAGGAGCAATTAAGTACAAGACCTAAGACAGTATGGAAAAGTTGTTCCACTCCAGTAGGGTCAATTGAAGCCACTGAGCGTCTGGCCATGCAGGTTTCAATATGGCCAGCTGGTTTCAGCAATGAACAAATATATAGCTATTCTCACTGTAAGAATTGAACCTTCAAACGCTTTCTGTGAGCAATAATAAGGATGATTGATTCCAGGAACACCAGTGATGTGCCTAAGCAAACGAGTCTCCACGCTAACCATTCCTCCGATTGACTGCCGGTGAACCAAAAAGTGAGGACCTGTACACGTTCGATAATTAGGCACGAAACATGGACACAAAATGAAACAAACACAGCTCCCAAATAAAGGAGTCCCTTCGTTTCTCTGCACTCCCAATCAACCCATTTGTTTGACAAAGGTAGATCTGGAAAACCTGACGAAACCTGGAGATCCGCGGTCCATCTTGGCATCCCGAGCAATACCCACCTTGAGCTCTTTGCCTCGTGTGGCCACCAAAGACAGAACAAGAAAAGAACAAAACCACAAGGATGAGAATGATTCCAACCTTAACCTAAGAGCAATGGCCTCCAACCTAGTAGCGTCCTTGCTACTAGTAGTAATGCCCTAGCTACTAGTTCCTAGTCGCGTTCTTGCTACTTGTCGCGATGCCCTTGTTACTAAGAGCGATGGCCTCCAACCTAATAAGAATCAGCAGCACTCTTTTCGATTCAAAGTTTCATAGAGTTCCCCAGGCTTAAAAGTCAATGCTGGAGAATCTCAGAACAGGTGCACTACAGTGAACCGGCACGACCCATAGACCCAACTTCAAGCACTTCAAGTGACTTGCCAACATCTTCAGGCTATGCAAGCTCTGTCAGGCTGTGTTAGGCTCTGTCCCATGTTTAACATCGAGGCAAAGCACCTCGTCTTCACCTCATCTTTTTCGCTCAACCGACGTCCCCACTTTCTTCCCGCCTGCCAGCTGGAAGCCATTCATGGCCGTCATGGCTTCGCGGGCCTCCGAGGCGTTCTTGAACTGGACGAAGGCGAAGCCCTGCGAAGGTCGAAGCAAAGACGGCAGGAAGCAAAAGCAGTAGCTTCTTGTTACTAGTAGCATCCTTGTTCCTAGTAGTACGGCCAGGAGCCCCTAGCTTCTTGCTCCTAGTAGTAAGGCCAGGAGCCCCTAGTAGCTTCTTGTTCCAGAGAAAGCAAATGATTCTCTTGAGGGAAAGCTTTGAAGGTGCAGCCTGAAACGGCAAAGAACTGCTCTTCAAAGCCTTTCACCTAAATCGGAGTTCCTTTGACTGTTCTTCACAGACTACGGTTTACCTTGTACAGCGAAACGGAGTGCCCTCAGAATCGAAGAGGAATGCAAGGAAGCACACATTGCATATCATGCCCGCAGGGTCGAATCAAAACAAGAGTCTGGCGGCCAGCCTTGCACTTGTTCGTGTAGGGATCCCTGTGAAGGTCAATGAACTCAATCTCACCTTACGACTTGGTGACACTTTGTCGGTGCCTTTGCCTGTTTGTTCTTTATTAAGAATCTACTAGGAGCAAAGGGCATCGCTACTAGGAGCAAGGACGCTACTAGTAGCTCCTGGCCTTACTACTAGTGGCAAGAAGCTACTAGGAACAAAGGGCACCTGTTACTACTAGCGTGGCACCTGTTACTAGTAGCTTTTTGTTACTAGTAGCGTGGCACTTGTTTCTAATAGCTTCTTGTTACATGTCAGAATTGTGAAGCTCAAGTGCTCGGTGTCTTGTCAAATCCATATCTCCCAGTGCGGAATCAACCAACACTACTAGCGTCCTTGCTCCTAGTAGCGTCCTTGCTCCTAGTAGTAAGGCCAGGAGCCCCTAGTAGCGTCCTTGCTCCTAGTAGCGATGCCCTTAGCTACTAGTAGCTTCTTGTTCACTGGATTAATAACATGCTTAATTCACAGTTTGAGGCCGGGTGGCTGAAGTGCACTGCGGGAAAACGGCGGGAAACAACAGCCAGACGTTGCTTGTGTGTTGCTTAACGTGTGCGTGCAAATTAGCACGCTTAGTGCAACTCGCAGTAAGACCAAGTGGCCGAAGGGCGAGAACAACTTCTTCAGCTCTTCCTCTGAGATGTTTGCCAAAGAGTCGGTCAGGCCACCCACGTACAAGCCTGAGCGGTGCGGCTCGACGGGGCAGAAACTTGCAACAAAACCAACCCAAATACCACAAAACCGGCTTTCGGCCAGCTTTCTCACCCCAGCATGAAAGCGTTTTTCACAGAGCTTAAGGCGCTTTTCAAAAGACTGTTGTGTGGCACAGTTTCAAGCACCAATAAAGGCATGCTTCTTTCCATATCCTTTTCCACGATCTTTCAATGCAATAATTATGGCCCTTACGTTAAAGGGGGCCCACCTCAAGACCCACAGGAATCATTTTAAATGATTCTGGGGGGGTGTGAGGGGGGTTGGTGATATTGATTCTGACAGTCATCCACGGTCAGGATCATTTCCTGAAATCTGCTGACATTTCCTGACATCTGAACTCTGTACCCAAAGTATTATTGGTATTATCATGTTTAGGTATAATTATGTATTATTGTCGGTGTCCAATGTTTTCCCACTGGGTGTCTAAGAATGTGGTGAGTTATGTGATTTTATATGGAAATGACTGGTGTGGAAATGATTCGAGGGCAGGTTGAGATCAGAATTGTGTTTTTTTTTGATGTTCTTTGAGGGTAGGGGAGTGGTGGTAGATCTTTAGATGTGTTTTAATGTGTTTTCCGGAACCCCAAGAATATCCAAGAATGCCCAGTCTGGGAAATGGACATGGGATCTTTCATGGGTAGTGCCTGGAATGGTAATGTGATGAGATATGTGGAAATGACAGGTGTGTGGAAATGATTCCAGGGGGGGTTGACATCAGAATGGGGTGTAAGGGTAAAATCTTGGAGGGGTGGATTCTGGAAGGTGAGATGTTTAGAGGAAACTCCCATACCCAATCTGGGCAAGGGCAATGGAGCTGGGAATTGCAATTTATTCCACGATTCCACCATGTCATTCTATTTCCATAGGTATTATAGGTAGTATTATGTATTGTTGTCGGTGTCCAATGTTTTCCCGCTGGGTGTCTAAGAATGTGGTGAGTTATGTGCTTTCATATGGAAATGACTGGTGTGGAAATGATTCCAGGGGGGGTTGACATCAGAATTGGGGTGGTTGCTTTTCTTGCCAAAGCAAGAACCCACATGGCAAAACTGAATAGGTTTGGGAGGCTCAGCCATCAGTTGGTACAAGCGCACACGTTGAAAAAAATGAAATATTGAAGCTGGTCGCGTTCCCACCTTTTGCATTGGTGCAGAATCTGTTTTAATACTGTTTTCTGTATTTGATGGACTCTCCAATAGAAATCTGATGAAATCTGTACGCTTGAGACTCAGGTGAATGCAATTATGACATTGCAACATGTGAAAATGATTCTGGCACATCGTTCACATCAAGTTAAAAATTAATGAAAATGATTCTGGGGGGGTTGACGACCCCCATGAACCCCCCTGTCAAAAAATTATTCCAGAGAAATGATTCTACTTAAATGATTCTGCCCATTGACGTACCCCCTGGAATCATTATTTAGCGTAACCCCCATCAATAATTGGTTCACCCCTTTTCAAGGTTGGAGGCCATCACTATACCCAGCTTGTTCCACCCGTTTCGCCAGGTGGCGCAGCGGTGTCTCTCTGGGTGCTGTGTAATGGATGGATGCTTTGGCGGCCTGCGCCGCTCGGTTCTTCTCCGACTGACTCGGCTGGACACGCACCGCCTGGCGGAGCCAACTGGACAAGAAGCTACTAGGAACAAGTGCATCGCTACTAGTAACAAGTGCCTTACTACTAGGAACAAGGAGGCTACTAGGGGCTCCTGGCCGTACTACTAGGAGCAAGGATGCTACGGGCTCCTGGCATCGCTACTAGGAGCAAGGACGCTACTAGTCACAAGACGACAAGAAGTAACCCTCAGCAGTAGCATTCTTGCCAAAGGCCTCCAAAAGAGAAAGAGTGCCCTGAGTGCCCTGTTCGCGCCCGGTTCGCGATGTTCACTCTGTCGAAACTAAAGCCGCCTGGCCCTTGACCGGCTGGCCACTGAGCGCCAAGGCTTTCAGCGTCGCTTCTTGCAAGTAGAACTCCACATAGGCCAAACCCTTTGAACGACCTCACACCCCCAAGACAGGAAGAAAAACTGGCCTGCAAATCGTCGTGCCACACAAGACCACTGCTTCAAACGAGGCAAAGATTGTGACGTTTAAAGCCAAAATGCCAGGAGCCACTAGTAGCTTCTTGTTACTTGTAGCGATGGCCTCCACCTAGCAGCTTCTTGCTACTAGTAGTAGTGCCAGCTACTAGTAGCGTCCTTGCTACTATTGTGATGCACCTTGCTATTGTGATGTCTAAAGGACACTTTGATCTAAAGCCTCGGATGTTGAGATCTGGGTCTCTAAACATCGCAGCAAAAAAACACTGCTAAAGGAAGCACGTCGAAACAGGACAGTGATGGTCAGATTCTGGAGCCCCAAAAACGGGTTGAAGGGTTCCCCATTCCCTGTATTGCCCGAAAAGAACACCACCACCAGCAGCCTGAATTTGTCTGGAACTTTTTTGCCGCCCTCCATCTCACTGTCTTGCTCAGAGAGCTCAAGTTTCTATTTTTTTAGCCCCGAGGCCCGGCCTCCCAAGCTATTAGGAACAAGAAGCTACTAGGGGCTCCTGGCCGTACTACTAGGAGCAAGGACGCTACTAGGGCTCCTGGCATCGCTACTAGTAGCAAGAAGCTACTAATAACAGGAAAGCTTTCTCCTAAGTAGGCGCCTACTTAATTAAGCAAGGGAGGAAGCTCCTAGCTACTAAAGCTACTACCTACTGGACACAAGATAGCTCACGCTTCTTGAAGGAAGCTCCCCGTTGAAGAAGTGCTCGCACTAATGATTTGGTTCCTCGATGTTTAGGAAACACTTAACTATATATTAGGCCCTTGTTCCTTTAGCGATGGCGTCCAACCTACTAGTTGGTTTTCCAGTTGATTCTTCTTGTGCGTCTATGAGATGTTTCAATGTTACTAGTTCCGCCAAATCCACATCCCCTAAGCATCGACCCACTTTGAACTGCCCCACCTGTACGTGCATCTCGGATAATCTGCACATCACGGACCTGCGACAGTACATGGCGCGTAGCAGCGTAGCTATGCGTAGCTCATGCAGCTGTCTCTTTCCTTAGAAATCTGAAAAGCGTGGCGATGGCGGCTGCAACCCCATTTGCTTCGCAAACAGGGACAATGCAAAAATATACTTCGTACAAATGAAAAGGGAAGTCCACCTGTGCTCACGCCTTGCCCGCATTCTTGGAGAAGAACTCGTAGACATCACGCTCATCAGCCTCATAGTTCCCTCCCACCCTTGTGAGGAGCACCCCTTTTTGCTTTTCCTTTTTTAGTCCAGGGAGGATGGGGGGGTAGAGCAGGCTAAAAGTAACTAGCTAGGACACAGGAAAATATAACGCTTCTTTGAAGAAGCGCTCTCACTATTCATGTAGTTCCCAGATTTTTAGGAAAACGGTGGAAATCCCAGTCTCACTTCTCGCACTTGTGCTTGCTTGGTGTGAGACGTGTTGCCTTCACATCTACGTTCTGAGCAGCAATTCCTGTCGATCGTCGGCAATGCCACCATCCCGCCTTGTGGTGCAGGCACACAATCATCACCTCAGCTAAGCGTGTTTGCAAGGTGTCCTTCCTTCCACACATCTTCTATCCGAGTTTTCGGATGAGCAGTTCCAAAAGATGTTGTTGGCATTGATTTGACTAGGAGCAAGGACGCTACTAGGGGCTCCTGGCCTTACTACTAGGAGCAAGGACGCTACTAGGGCTCCTGGCCTTACTACTATAAGGGGTAGCTAAGTTGAGACCAAAGTCCGACTAATACACTGTGTAAGGTGTAATCTGTTTGATGCACGTCCCAAGCAACGGCTTTACCAACATTCGCCACGTCGCCGTACGATCACCGCGGGTAGCATCCTCGATCTGTCGCCGACGCTCCTGTGGCCAATACCGGTGGCATCGCCACGGTTTCATGGCAGAAGATCTGTAACACATATGATTAAAAATATTGTGTATAATATACAATATTAGATATAAGAATACGTATAGCATTAATACATAATATATAATACATTAAAACACTGAGTGCACAACACCACGGTCCTCTTCTTCCTCTTGGCGCCGCTTCTCCTGGAAAGCAGTCATGACGTGTCACATGTGTCACCACAAAGTCACCAAATCACCTGGCCTGGGTTTGGAGCTTGTGCTGTTCGAGGATCCCCCCACCCGTTGTTAAAGCCAAAAATCCTCTGCCCTGCGCCCCTCGCTCTCCTCCAGCTCGCGTTCCTTCTCCAAACGCCTTGCTTCTCGGCTCCGGCTGCGGCTGCGGCCCCGGCGCGCGGAGCGCGATCGGGTCCTGCGCATGAGCAACAAGGGTGTGGACGGTCCACGAGCGACGGCGTCCTTCAAGCGATAAAAGTGGAACACAGAGACGCATAGCTTCCTTGTTCCTAGTAGCGATGCCAGGAGAGATCGCTTTCAGGGACAAAAACATTATCAATGCTGTGAGCTACAAGAACCTTTTGGAAATCCTCATGAGCATGCACACTGACACCGATCACCAAGAGAAACATGAAGGAACATACTACTAGTAAATAGAATTCTTATTAGAATTTCATTAAAGCGATCTCTCAAGATCGTGTTGCAACCCGTCGCAACGCGTGGCATGTCTCTCCTGGAGCGTCGCTTCTTGTCTTTGCGCCGGTCGTCATCATAGTCCGCATTGGCCGCTCGCTCCTGAGCGCTCGGTCAGCGGTCAGTTGTCGCTCCTATTCGCTCCGGTCCGGACCTGTTTAGATAGCCTCTCCATCCTAGTAGCAGCCTCCAACCTAGCGTATTGAGGGATTCTTGATCTTGGATTTAGACTCATAGGACTGATTTAAAAATTGTCTCTGCTTTGGAGTTCATTCCCGGCGTCCGCGTTGTCCAAGAGCTGCTCGACTGCATCGAAGTCCAAGTCGTCCGCCATGGCGCTTCTTTTCTGGAACTCACCAGTGGCGCGCAACGCAGTCCGGGGGAAACCGAGGAAACGCCCCCCGCGGGTCACGCGCCTGAGCCAAAGAGGCGCACAGTAAGGTGCTAGCAAAAGGTCTATAAGACCCTTTGTTCTTCTGCTCATTTTTTGGAACCTTAGACCTGTTCTTTTTCCACGACCAGAACAGTCATTTAACACTGTTACATATGACAGGGCGATTGTATACGATCGCGCAATCGTACTGCGCTTGGCGCGGGATGCTAGAAGAAGGTAGAGGCTCTTTGCAGGCATGCTAAGGCTGGGGACTGAATTCCTGCCTTACGGAAATCGTTCTTGGGTGAATGTGGCATCTGATCTACCACAAAATCTTCATGAAACCTCCATGGAGGCAAGGCAAGTCTTTGCCGCTGTATGATGCCTTGAAGCAAGTTGACCGGACAAGCTCTTGAATTTGAAGGATGCCACTTAGTTCTCCAGGACAAGCCAAGAATGGCAGGTCGGACTCAGGAGTGATGTTGAGTACCAAACTTATCCAAGATCATGAGTCCACGCATGCGCACATAAAAGGACCCATTGAAGAACCTGCTCTTTTAGCTCAACCTCAGATTAAGACATCTTCACAGCCCCCCTGGGGTAATAAAAAAGTTATTCTGACCACTGCCACTCATCATTCCAATACGTCATTCACATTGCATAATAATTTTCAGACTTCTGTACCTGACACACCCGTCAACAGCCAGACAGGGTGTGGTTTGCAAAAGTATTCCAAAAAATATTCTGAATTCAAGGGTAGTACCTTAAACCACTACCTTGCTTAAGCATTATTCCATCGAACATATTCCTGGAAAATATTCCAACACGTAACATTCATTAGGCCACCCCCTATGAAATCTTGTATCGGGAATCACACTTTGATGGAATACCGCCTACCGGGGACCTATGCAGGACATCTTTCTTTCCAAAATCTCACTGAAGCCATCTATTTGCTCCAGGTGCTAGCTTCAAGTGAGCCTCAAGTGGTTGATTGCATTACTGTTACTACTAGCGTGGCACCTGTTACTACTAGCGTGGCACTTGTTTCTAATAGCTTCCTTGTTACTACTAGTAAGGCACCTGTTACTACAGAGTCTAGAGATCACGAACTGATGGCATATCACAGGCGTTTTGCTCATGCCATCAAAGTGTGATTCCCCAAACGTCCTACACCAGCCAAGTAGCAACAACTCCTGGGTACGAATATGGCCTCCAACCTATAGAAGTGATGGCCTCCAACCTATAGAAGTGATGGCCTCCAACCTATAGAAGCGATGGCCTCCAACCTATAGAAGCGATGACCTCCAACCTAAGAGCGATGACCTCCAACCTAAGAGCTATGACCTCCAACCTATAGAAGCGATGACCTCCAACCTAAGAGCGATGACCTCCAACCTAAGAGCTATGACCTCCAACCTATAGAAGCGATGACCTCCAACCTAAGAGCGATGACCTCCAACCTAAGAGCTATGACCTCCAACCTATAGAAGCGATGACCTCCAACCTAAGAGCGATGACCTCCAACCTAAGAGCCATGACCTCCAGCCTAAGAGCGATGGCCTCCAACCTAATAGCGATGGACTCCAACCTATAGAAGAGATGGCCTCCAACCTATAGAAGCGATGACCTCCAACCTAAGAGCTATGACCTCCAGCCTAAGAGCGATGGCCTCCAACCTATAGAAGTGATGGCCTCCAACCTATAGAAGCGATGACCTCCAACCTAAGAGCTATGACCTCCAGCCTAAGAGCGATGGCCTCCAACCTAAGAGCGATGGCCTCCAACCTATAGAAGTGATGGCCTCCAACCTATAGAAGCGATGACCTCCAACCTAAGAGCTATGACCTCCAGCCTAAGAGCGATGGCCTCCAACCTAATGCACTGTATCCCTAAGCACTCGTGAGGCACGCTCTTTCTCCTCCCCTTTGCACCCTGCGTTGTCCGCAGCTAACACCCCCCCGGACTTCATGCGTCCGGGGAGGGCTCATCTCAGGAGGTCTCGCCCTGAAATGTCTCATGGGACGGGTTACAGATAGAGGCGAAAAAGCTCCTGGTAGTGTCCTTTGTTCCTAGTAGCAATGGAGCCCCTAGTAGCTTCTTGTTACTACTAGTAAGGCACTTGTTACTAGTAGCGATGCACTTGTTACTAGTAGGTTCTTGTTCCTAGTAGTAAGGCCAGGAGCCCCTAGTAGCGTCCTTTGCTCCTAGTAGCGATGCCAGTAGCGTCCTCTCTGGGGAGGATTTCTTCTTGGTTGAGGGGACAAATCGATTTTGCTTGATGCTCGTGACATGCACATCAAAAATCTCGTACGTGGGTCCATCCAATCTGCTAGACCACGTGGCCACCTTGGCCTCTCCAATTAATTCAATAGTTAAACCAGGTGTTATATGTTTTGTTAATTTTTCCTCAAGGGGGGTAGGCCGCTAGGAGGTACGTAGCAAGTAGCTAGAGGTAGCTAGTAGCTTACTTAAGCTCGTAGAATGGACGCAGGATAGCTCGCTCTCGCACTCATGATTTGGTTCCTAGATTTTCAGGGAAACTTAAGGTTTGTTTTAATGCGTAGACATGTCTTGTTTTCTTCAGCGCTCTCTCTTCCTTCCTTCCTTCCCTCCCTCCCTCCCTTCATTGCTTGTGGTTCCTTGTTTTGTCTCCAGTTGTCTCCAGAAAGAAACACGCATGCCTTGCGTGCGGCGGCGGCAGCTTCTGCTTGGCTTCCATCATCATCGTCGTCATTCATGTCGACAAACTCGTCCTCTAGGATCCAAACACCCCATGCTGCTAGTAACAAGGGCATCGCTGGCTACTAGTAACAAGGGTATTACTACTATATATATATATAGTAGCAAACAGCTACGATTAGCAAAGTAGCTACTAGTGACGGTGCCAGGAGCTACTAGTAGCGTCCGATGCATGTTTCTTTACATGTTAAAGAATGCCATGGAAAAACACATACATTACATGTTCCGCCCGTACAGCTGAGAATTCACTTCCTTTTCCTTTTTCAGCTTTGACAAGATATGTACATGCTTTGTTCACTGTCTGGAAAGACGAACTGGGATTGGGCAGATTGATCGAAGCTACCGGGGTTCCAATAACCACTGCTGCGGGTGCATCTTTAAGCTGGTTCACTCAGTTGACGGTTGCCACAGTGCGATGAGCACTGATATTTTCCAATTTCCATGCCAAGTCCGTTTTTTGATGAGAAACTGACGGGTTTTTTGAACAAAGATGAATGTCTTTATGTCCTATGTGCGGCCCTACAGTACTGATGTTTTCTCACAGAGAAAACCGGGAGAGCCGGTAGCAGATGGTGCTCACAAACACTCCTGGCCATATCAGTTTGTATACGCTGTGCTGAACTCGCGGTCGAAAACAGAGCTGCTTGTGGATTCTGAACAGCTTTTTTGTGGCTTCCACTGCCTCTTTTGACCTTAGAACTTCATGTAAAGACGACTCCATGACTGATAGTTTCGCAGTCGAAACTCGTGAAGCTGCACGGCTCTATGGCAAAAACAGGATGTTCAATCAACCAAAACGATCCAGTGATCCACATGTTTCAGAGGTCCACTAGGCACCCGAATTGAACGCGTACCCTAAGAGTGACGGAGATATCACGGGTCGTCATAGTTCCATAAGCTTATGGCATTTGTTGTACGTGCTTGGGAGTATGCGCTCCCCACGTAGTTCGGCGATCCAGTGTTTCGGTTTAGATCACTAGGCCTGAACACACAATCTATACCGAAGGTCTCCAACCCACGAGCGATGGCCTTCAACCTAAGAGCAATGGCCACCAAAAGCCAGCTTACAACAAGCTAATTATTCTTCGTTGAGTAGCAACAAGTGAGCTTTCCCTTCTGTAAAGCTCTTACTAATGAAAGCAAATCTTCCATACAATCACAAAATATCTAGCATATCTAGCTCCCTAAAGACATGTGTAAGTATTATGCCTGCTCTCAAAAGCCCGCAACCCTGTGGCCAGACTCCTTGCTGGCGCCACACATTGGGCATTTGAACTTCTCGTTAAAAAAGGCGCCCTCGCGCCCCCTGGAGACACAAAACACTGGACCGCTGCCCGGACTGCTCTCGTTTTGCTTTGGGAGCTACACAGCTGCAAACCTGGCCTTTTCCTATAGCAGTACCAAAGCTGGCGAAATTGTTTAGCTAAACGCCATACAGGGTGGAACTAGTTCATTCTCTCCAGATTGACGAATACGTGCCGCATTTCGCCTAGGTCAATATCGATCAGTATAAACAGCACAAATAGTCTGAGAGTGCTGAAATGGAAGCGAGATTAAGATAGTGAGCCAGTTTCTGAGCTGCAATTTGTAATGAGGTGCAAAAGCTACAGCGTCGATCAGTGGATTGGCCTCTCAGTTGGGCCACTCAGATCTTGAAGTATTCGGGGCGGCGAAATTCTTGCAACCTTCGGTTGATTAAGACTGGGGTTCAGGCTTCTCTTGCACTTACAGTATGTATTATGCATATCTGCATACTGTATGTGACTCATCTGTGGGCTGTTTCATTCCCAGTCGAGTGCTCGCCTCGCTGGGAATAAGGTGTAGCCACAGCCGCTGCACATGAACATATGCAACTCTTTCTGCGCCTAGCGCGGCACCGGAACCGAGATCTGGAGACGGGGTGGGGATATCGATGGCCTCCAACCTAGTAGCTTCTTGTTACTAGTAGTAATGGCCTCCAACCCAATAGCGATGGCCTCCACCCCAGTACGGTTTCGTTCTTGCTGGAATGTGGGTCGTCCAAATCTGAGAATCATGTTCAGTCACATGTCGGGTCCAAGAGTCATCTGCCTGAACACACGGGAAGTTGGAAAACTGTCGCAACAGGCTTGCCATCCTAAAGTGGTTTGAAAGGGCAAAAAAGGATGATTTCGGAGAGACAGGCTTCCCCGATGCCATATAAAGCTTCGTCTCTTTGGGTACGGGGAAATCACTCCACCAAGCGCTGCTCTACTTGACAGGTCGTGGGAGATGGGTGAACTTCAGATGCTCGGGTGCTTCAGCAATGTATGCGCAATACACCCGAACAAGCCTTCGCTAAAGCCAGAAGTGCAGGTAGCTTAGGCAACCCTTTTTTTGAACCGTGGCTTCAGGAAGTCCGGTTTGCTCTCATGGCTCGCTGCAGGGGGAAGGCTCTCAGCAAGGCTCTATTTTCCTCTGAACGCCTCATCTCCTTCGGAGTCTTTCTGGACGTTGAGAACGCAAAAAGAAAACAACCAGACAAATTTGCTCCCTTGCGATCTATCCTTTGGACGTCGTAAACCGGCAAGCTGGTTCAGCATTAAGTAATGCGTCTATCAAGATCCAACAAGGACATAACACTCAGAAAAATTGCACGATCAGCACTGCCCAACTTCAGCACGATCAGCTACAATGCAAGGTTCTTGGTCGTACTTCGTGAAAGTCGAATGCACCTCCAGCCACCAAAGGACAAAAAAACGAGCAGTCCGGCACCACACGCGAAAGCCATCGCCAAATACTGGCTTTCAACGTAAGCTTGCGTCGCCAAAGCGGTACCTTGGAAGCGGAAAGCATTGGCAGTGCAAGGGCCTTAAGGATCGCCACCCTAAGAACGCTACTAGGAACAAGTGCATCGCTACTAGGAACAAAGGGCCTTACTAGTAGTAACAAGGATGCTAGTAGAAACAAGTGCATCGCTACTAGTAACAAGAACGCTACTAGGTTCTCCTGGCCTTATTACCAGGAACAAGAACGCTACTAGGAGCAAAGGGCACCGCTACGAACGGAGCAAGGACGCTACTTGACTTTCGATGTTTGAAGAATTTCCCAACGAAATGGAAGAAGGATGACTCCAGGTGACCAAAAACCACACAGACGGTGAAGACCAAGAAGATCATCAAAGTCTTGGTGAAGTCTACGCGGCCCAGGCTCGCAAAGCGATCACAAAGGTAAAAGCCCAGCTTAAGACTCACAAGCATCCTGATTGGCGAGAGGGCAATTTTCAGGATGGAGGTGAGATAGACAGTCTTTTTGTTTAAGTTCGTGGGGGCGCCGTGCCTCCTTGCTTAAAAAGGCGCCTAATTAAGTAATGGCGACTAGTTTGCTACTAGAAGTTCGCTCCTACGTAGCTACTGGACGCAGGAGACTCCCCCTGCCGCCTTTAGAGTTTCCTTGAAGAAGTGCTCTACTGGGCATAGGTCTAGATCATGTTCACTTCATTCAATACTGTCGGATGTCGGCCTTTTTGTTTGTTGCCATGGGTTACAGTCTCGCAACAGCTAGTTGCCTCTACACTGCAGGGGGTTTGCTTAGAAACGAAGGCAGCCAAGGGCAGCTCACAACCACCTCTGTGAACATAAAAACGATTGAAAATGCCAGGAGCTACTAGTAGCTTCTGGTTACTAGTAGTAAGGCACTTGTTACTAGAAGCGATGCACTTGTTACTAGTAGCTTCTTGTTACTAGTAATATCTCTGGATTGCCAAGCATCCACAGTGTCTGCATTCCAACGACAACGCCGATAAAATGTGAAAGGAGCACGGCGCTGGGACCACCACCCTTCCAAATGGCCAAGAGGAATTCCTAATGCCAAAGGAGAAAAGGAACACGCATCACTGAGCATCGCTTTCCCAGATATGGAAGTCTACATATGAAGTCGTCTAATGACTGAAGGGGGATCAATCCAAAGCGTTTGAGGCTGTGGCTTGCGGGGTGAGGGAAATGCAACTTGGGTGTGGAAATTGCAAGTCTTTGGGGTGTTGGATTCTGCGAGAGTGCGGTTGGATTCTACGTGGAGGCCATCGCTACGACCAGCAACTTGAAACTCTCGTTGAAGAAGCGAGCAGGCAGACGCAGGACGGCACTGGGACTCCAGGAAAGCCAGTTTTTAAGCAAATAAAAACAAGAAAGGATCAAAAGGAAAAACATGTCTAAGGGAACTAGAAACAACAAGCTATTAGGGTGGAGGCCATCGGTACTAGGGTCGAGGCCACTACTACTAGAAACAAGATACTAGGGTGGAGGCCATTACTACACGTAACAAGAAGCTCCTCGACTCGTGGCCTACCCCCCCTTTAAAAAAAGGATAAGGTCTAAGGAAAAGATAGTCTATCCAAGGCTCCAGGCCAGACCCAATGGTTGGTGTCAACAACAAACACCAATAGACGTTTGGCACTTGGTTCTTCGACAAGGGCCTGACCAGCTCATCAAAGAGAGGCCCTCTCACGTAGTCCGCGAAAGCTGTCTTGCTGCCATACCAGGCAGTGATGCCTGCAAAAATGAAATCTCGATCATAGTCACTCCTGCAATCAGCGCCTTCCAAATCAAAGGCTTTAAGGTCTGTGATGAGCTTCAGCTTTTCTCGCGTGCTGGTTCGTAGAACATGAAATGCAAAATAAGCAGGAACCAGGGACAGGACATAGCCAGTATATGTCAATGGAAGGTTCACATTCATGGACTGAGAGATCCAAAATACAAAGACCACCGCATATGTGCCCAACAAAACGCAACCAATAGCCATCTCAATAAAGAGAGGAGCTAATACGATGGTCCCGCTGGGGTTCGCCTTTCGGTAAGCTGCCAGTTCAAAAACACACCATAGTCCTTGGATGTGCGTTTCAAATGGTGTAGACTTGTAGTGAACATGCTTGACCTTTTGTGGATTGACTTGTAGTTCAGGGTGCATACTGTGCATACACCCCAAGGCTCTGCCCACAAGAGCTAGACTGTTCTTTGCGCTTGATGTATATACACTCCCTCAGGAATTACATATGAACATGTGCGCATGCCACAGAGGTGATTTTATAACAGTATGTACCTCGCATGTGCCACATGATGTGCCACATGGGCTCCAAAGCCAGGAGTCTGGTCAAATATGGTGGACTCCATAGGACACGCAATTGCTTCGACACCGACAGAAATCATCCCAAGCCATAAATGCCACGTTCCATAAGCTCCTGAGGCTTGCGTGAAAGGATCCATGGTCAAAGCTGATTAGCTTGTGGCCCTCATAGTCCGGTGCTAAAGACATCTAAAGACTAGAATCCAGCGGTTCCAGCGGTCTGCATCCGTCTTCAATGCACACCAAAAAAGGAAAGAGAGAAAGGCTTCAAATGCTAAGCTTTGCCAAGTTTCATGGTTGGTTTGGTGGATGCTGACGACATCCAAGAAGCACATCTCTGCACCCAAAAGGTTTGGCAAATAGGGTGAGAGAAAAAGCCCAAGGACCTGACAACGATGGCCTCCAACCTAGAAGCAATGGCCTCCAACCTACTAGCGATGGCCACCCTAGTAGCTTCTTGTTACTAGTAGTAAGGCCAGGAGCTACTAGTAGCGTCCTTGCTCCTAGTAGCGATGCCCTTTGTTACTAGTAGCTATGGCAGCCCAAGGACAGATCCAATGAGGCCACCAATTAGAATCCATGGACCAAGAGGACACGTGCCCTGGAAGTCCAAGACCTGCACCTGGCCAGTCGAACTCAGTCGAAAGTGATCTTAAGTTTTCGAAGCGAGGCGCGTTTGGATTGATCGATGAGGGGAAAAAAAGCAACTTTGCACGCTTTGGTTGAAAGCATTCAGTTTGCGTTTGTCTAAAACGTCCGAACCGTCAGGCGAAGAAATCGGCGTGTTTCAGCTTCGACACGAAGGGTTCTTCCTGCGTCGCATGTAGCTTGTAGCGTGAAGTGACGTCACATGCTGCTACTTAGTGCTACTAGTAGCGAACCTTGTTCCTAGTAGTAAGGCCAGGAGCACAGTAGCGTTGTTTCCATTTCCGGAGAGCCCCAGTAGGATGGGGCAGGGCAAAGCACAAACAGTGCACCTCGATGGTGGATGTGGCTGGAAGGGCATCCAGTCCACATAAAAGAAGCATTAGCACCACGGCCATAGCCCAGCCTTGGCGCTCTCACTTAATAGCGATGGCCTCCAACCTAAATGCTTTATGCATCTTTATGCTGTGTTTCAAGTTTGCCAGAGTTTGCCGATCTTTGCCAATCATCGATGTCTTGCTCTTTTTTCTTTGTCAATCCCATCGATCCAATCCCAGTTCCAAAGCTTGCCAAGGAACCCAACAACATGCAGGGCCATCCCGATTGGAGCATCAAAGAAAGGACCTTCCATCGGCCAGGGGTCAGCCAAGTGTGCGAGAGAAAGACGTCGATGTTCTCCACTTGGACCGACTTGTCCCACAAGGTGGACCGCTTGGCCTACACTCTCCCAAGAGGAGTGCAAGGACGCTACTAGGGGCTCCTGGCATCGCTACTAGGAGCAAGGACGCTACTAGGGGCTCCTCCCAAGAGGAGTCCAACTAAATTTAACGTCTTGTCTTTCTTCCCTAAGGAGGCCATCGCTACTAGGTTGGAGGCCATCGCTAGTAGGTCTTCCCCTACTCAAACTTTCCTACACGCAGCTCTCGGAGCCATGAGCACGTGTTGCAAAAACGTTCCTACCCAGGCCATAGGCCTTAAGTGGTGGTCTGTCCTACCCGTTGCTAATCCAAACTGGAATGTGTTGCCATCTATGTCTTCTTTGCGTATTTGTATGTTTCTTCTTCCGTTTTTCCTCTGACTTCTAGACAACTCCTTTCTTTCTTTTCCTGTTCCTGTATTCTTATCAGTCTTATCATGTGCCACAAGTAGTAAGGGATACAGCAATCACCTTCCAAGATTTGAGGCAAGCATAGGCAAGCATGGTTGCCCTCAAAAGCTCTGTTAGAAAATTAATCCAAAGCGCTTCTGATAAGTCCAAAGGCGATCTGAGCCAAAGTGAACCGCCTCCTCCTAGGGCAGGGAGCTTCAGCATGGTTGGCCCACAAATGACTTGACACTTTGAGAAACACCACATGTTGCTACTTAGACCCTGCAAACCCTCGTGATTGATGTGTTGTTCTTTTTAGTGGCGAACTGCAATGGAGGTGCCGATTGATAAATTCCTGCCTATTGCTCATCAAATATCCCCAGGTTCGGTGTTGTGTTCTGTTGTAGGCCACGCAACCCCCTATGTCGCATAATCTCACAATAGGCTTGATTGTTCTACGGGTTGAAAAGAAACAGCCAAGGCAGGACATCCACGGCGTTAATGAAAATCTGCACTGATCTTCATGGATTGTCGACTATACCATACTATACCTATCTCACACAAACAATTCGAAGAAACTCCGTGAGTCTTCTCGGGATGGAAAAGAGCCTTCTTGTTACTAGTAGCTTCTTGCTACTAGTAGCGATGCCAGGAGCCCCTAGTAGCTTCTTGCTCCTACTTGTGATGGCCTCCAACCTACTTGCGATGCCCTTTGCTCCTAAAGCCCCTAGTAGCGTCCTTGCTCCTAGTAGCGATGCCCTTTGCTCCTAGTAACGTCCGATCGCTCCAAGCTTCGAAGGCTTTTCTTCAACGAAATGCCTCGCAACAGCTCTTGGTCCACCTCCAAGCGCTGCATCGCTCCCAGCGCGGCACTCTTCACGCTCGTCGCACCTTCCGCACCCTCGGCACCCTCCGCCGCATCGTCCGCGTCGTCCGGCCCCACGTCGGGCGGGTCAACCGCGTCACGTCGGGCGCGTCGGGAGAACGAGCTCAGCTTCTTCGGCTGATGCCGCGGCGCCAGGGGCTGCGGCTCCGGCTCCGGTGGCTCAGTGCGGTGATCATGGTGCACCACCTGGCAGAGGCTGAGTCAACCAGTTTTTCCAAAGAATGAATCGCTCCTTTCAACAACGACTTACGGGTTTTCTATGGTTTTCTTACCAGGTGTGGCTTTCCTTGTCATTTCCATCCCGGTCTATTCGATGACCCTGTGTGCCTCAGCCAGCTCTGGAGGCTCTTCTTCTTTGCAGCACTTTTGGCCCATCGATGAAATACACAAATGGCACCTTTGAGCCAAACAAATGGCCACAACTTAGTTGCACACAGCATGTCGGCCAATCCCACATGGTTGAACACCAGCTGAATTCTATCATGGAAAATGAATCTGGGTAGCACATGGTAGCACTAGTTTCCCAAGCCGAATGACAAGATTGCCATTGTGGCAATGCGGCAATACCCTTCGTCGGGACTCAAAGGTTGGTCGAAATCGACCGTGAGCACGTCGAGGTCTTGAAACGAAGAGATTCTAGTAGCTTCTTGTTACTAGTAGTATGGCCAGGAGCCCCTAGTAGCGTCCTTGCTCCTAGTAGTATGGCCAGGAGCCCGGTCTTAGGTTCGGTGTCTCTCTGAGAGGTGGCTGTAGCGCAGAACGGGAACCGCCTCCTCGGTACTGGCGATGTACTTGGAATCTACCGAGGCGCTCACCTGCAGGTGTTGATGAGATGCTTCGAATAAAACGATTTACCATGGAAGAATACCTCGTTCGCTGGGAATGCTACTAGGAGCAAAGGGCATCGCTACTACGGGGGGGCTCCTGGCATCGCTGCTAGGAGCAAGAAGCTAGTGTAAATGGGTTTTGGCTGAGAACCCATCCCTTCTAATTCACCAACATGGTTTCCTGAGTTCGTTGAACACCTTGAACCAAACCATCTGTCTGCCTGTCTGCCTGTCTCTCTGCCTCTCTCTGCTTCTCTCTATTTTTTTGCACCGAACCCTTCCGGGTCCGAGTCTTTCAGTGGAGCAAATCGATGCAAAAACAAGAAGCTACGATCGGGGCTCCTGGCCGTACTACTAGGAGCAAAGGACGCTACTAGGGGCTCCTGGCATCGCTAATTACTGGGAACAAAGACGCTACTAGGCTCCTGGCATCGCTACTAGGAACAAGAAGCTACTAGGAGTTCGATGCCATATATATATATATATCCCTCTCTCTCTCTCTCTCCTGGCTGTTCAAAAGCGTTGATGGGATCATGAAGGTACAAGACGACACCGCTCTGCTTCAAATCACGCCCAGTGACATGGGAATTCCAGCTAGCATGGATGATGGTGGACCGTATCAAGCAGTATCAGTATGACTCGAGCCAGGACCCTCAACAAATATTTGATTCAAGGTCATGGATAATCCAACAAGGCCTTTGACTTCGAGTCCGCGCTGCAATGTTTGAGGTCCACTGTTTGCATCCGGTGGTCTGAGGGATAATGGCTAGATGGTTCCCAAAGCGAGTAGAAAGAATGAGCTCAAGACCAAGAGGGATGCCTCACAAGCTCCACAGAATCTTGAAGGTATCTGCATTAATATGCATTGGCGGCTTGAGGATGTCCCATCTGCGGCCCCACACCGTCACACTTGCTCAATCCCACTTAGTCTGCCCACCTGCGCCAACTTTTCAGTACTACCCCTGGTGGTCCAGAGTCTGTAGATCATGGAGGGCAAAGCCAAGCCCAATGGCACCTGCCAGCGGAAGCAACCGAAACCCGGCGTCAGTGAGACTCATGAGAAGCGGGGGAAACATGTTTCCCCTGAATTCGACAAAATGGAATTCAATAGTTGAACAGGCAAACGCTATTGGTATCTACAACGGTCACGATTACCGGATTGCTGATGGTTGTACAATACAGGTGTTCTTCCCTACAATGATCACTGTTGATTGTATTTCTTCCTCCAGTGTGC